CATCAGATTAAAACGTTTGTTTAAAACCTTGTTAGAGCCAATAGGTAACGTTAGCCAAAGTTGTGAGAGCGTTCCCCGCTAGCTGGGATTTATTTATTATAAACGTTAGTCCTTAACATCTATCACTGTGTATATCACCATTCAAACATATTTTAAAAGTTGAACAAACCCCACACAGCTCTGTGAAATGTTGACTTTATTTAAAGACCCTGTGAAGTGCATGTTTTTGGGCCAAAATGAAATGGCAGTTTCATTCCTTAAATATCATTGTGCCTGTTCATGGCTAAAATAATTTTTCATAATTAATGAATGAATGAATTTTGCCGTCTGAGCCTAACGGAAGTTGAAGACGATAGTGGCTGTGACGTCACAAGATGTACCCAGTTGTGATTGTAAACATGGTGGAGACTTTGGAAAGTGATACTAGTGTGAAAGAAATGATTGATTTGGACAGCTTTTCGGACAGGATAGATGAGGAAAGTGATCAATCTGGTGCACTTTGAGGGCCACATTAAGAGATTTATGGATACAGTTCTCAACACTCATATGAAACAGAACTGTATATATTTCAATAATCAAAAAACATTAGAATATGCTCACAACCAATAACAAATCATTGATCAACTCCTCTCTCCTATCTTTATCTTACCTAGTCTGCATTCTTTCTTTATGCATATTTGACTAGTCACTCCCCTTTCAAACTGTGTTTTTTATTTTTGTACTGACACATTTAAAAAGTGGGGGGGGACACAAATGGGATTTTGAAAAGTGGGGGGGACATGTCACCCCTGTTAAATTACGCCCATGTTTACGGTCCATTTTTAAACAGAAATGACACAAACACATAATAATTATGAATATTGCTTTTCTTGGTTTGATGTTATAGTAAGGTGAATATCTTGTGAAGCCACATTAAGCTTCAGGAAATTGTGAGAGGCATTATACTTCTTTCTTACATTTTATATAATCATCATGAATATAATCTGCAAATTATTGATAGGAACACATAATAATTGATTGCAGACATATCGCATTTCACTATCCTTTCCTGTGATGTTTATGTTAAATCTCTGCTCTAATTAGCTGGAACATTTATACCCCAGTGGAAGTTATTGTTCTGTCCATTACATAATTTGTATCCCAGAGCCATGGATGTTGATTGAAAGCCTTTGGTGATTGATAGAATTTCACACAAGACGAACATTTCTTTAATGACTGTGTAAGTGCTTTGGATAAGCAGTGTGTGTGCGCGCGCGGCGTGCGTGCGTGTGTGTGTGTGTGTGTGTTTGTGTGTGTGTTCGTTCAGAGTAAAGAAAACGGCTGACACCTGATTAATTAGCCAACTGAGGCAGCCAGTATTCCTGGTGTAGCCTTGGGCCACAGTGCACTGCATCCCTCTGCTTTATTCAATGCCCTCTGGCTAAAAACAACAACAAAATCTCAATTCGCAAAAGAGAGGAAGTTGTTTCTGGAGGCTGCTGTCTGGCAACCATTTCACGCACTTCAAGAGAGGACGCGGGAATAAAAACAGATCAAATTGTTGCCCATGGACATGCAGTGATAAAACAGCTTCTCACCCATGGGCAAATCTGAACCCTCTCTTCTTGCTCTTACTCTCACCATAGATTTTCTCCCACTCATTTTCATATTTTTCTGTCACATAATACACAAACATATATCTGCTATTCACAATGTATTTCTCCTGCTCTTCAAACCATATGTGTGGTAGCTGCATCAGGGCTCACAGGTTAGGCCACCGTTCTCTAAAAAGAAACTCCACAGAGGGAAGCAGCACAAGGAAAAGGGCCGCAGGGGAAAACAAGCCAATGACCACTTTTGGTAAAAAGCTGCAGCAGTCAGCACCGCAGCCTAAAATTTAATTTCCCCTAAAAAAAAAATAGCTATCCTCTATGCCTTTGGCTGCCTATTTATAGCATGTTATCGTTCAGCCTCAATCAGAACTGAAGGCAGTCATTGCTAGAAAACAGCATGGAGCTCCTAAGAAATCAGAAGTAGCTCATCAGATGTGTAATGTTTTATGTACAAGCTGATGTATTGAGGAGGACAGAGAGGAGAGAGAGGAAAATGGCCTGTCTCTTACAGTTAATGCATTTTTCCTTCTATATAGCTCCATCGAATCGATACTGTCAGATGAGGTCATGGTTTAAGTCCAGAGAAACAATGCCAGTGTTCAAGCATGCCATGACTTCATGATAACATCAGAGTTTTCATTTTCCCGTTACACCATGGCCTCTTCTCAAACCTGTTCCCTGAACGTACTGCATTGTTTATGCTGAAAAACAACTTAAGTGAGCACAAAAGAAGCAGAAAGAAAGGAGTTCTCACAACTGCAAACAAGTCTTGACAGTGTGTGGACAGTGACCAGCAAATCATGTATAATGTGCCACTTCAGTTATGCTTTGCTCATGGCATTGAGCTCAGCTATACGGGGGTCTTGTGCAGAGTTGGGTATGTTGGGCACCTGCTCCACTTATCCACAAATACTCTATGACAATTTAATACCCAAGCCTGGATTACCTCAAATGGCTGTGTGTCACCTGGTTTGTCCTTGCATGGGAATATGAAAAATGAACACAGAATATAAACTGACATGATGAGGGCCTTACAGTGCTTTCCTACCCTATAACTCACGTTGAGGCACTGTCTTAAAGAGGGCCATTAAGTACAGTAGTTTGAAGACCACAATAATAGTATTGAGATTATTTGTAACATCTCTCTAATTTTCATTCAGCAAATCTTGTTCAAGTAGAGAAAAAAAACTAACAAAATGTGGAGGGAGGGAATGGATTACTCGAAGCACAGTCATCCAGCCCTGCAAATGTATCACAAGTCACTACCACACATAACTCTAATTTACAATAATTTAATAAAAATAAAAATTTGATTCATCACTTATTCATCAGCTTACAAAAACAAACTGCTCCAGCCGCTTCAACAAGCCTCCCTCTGCTGCTCATTCTGACAAAAGTCAATACCTCAATGCTCTACGAAAGTGCCAAGTTCTTAAAAGTTGTCTGATAATTAAAATGTGTTGTCTTTAACTGCGTAGCAGGCTGATATCTGGAGTTGAAGAACATCTTATCAGTAGCCTGTTTATAAGAATTCAAGGGAACATCAGTGTGCACAATGGTAAAGGTGAACCCTTCATTATGATACACAACACCCTCACTCACCTCTCCTCCATGGCCATCAAAAATCCCAAAAATAGAGGGGTGACTCTTGTTGACGATGTCGCTGAGCACCTCGAACCGGTCCTCCATGTGGTCTCGCCGGCCTTGGATGGAGTACACGGCCACGTTGCTGCTCTTGAACTCCCATGTCTTGGAGAACTCCGCGTCCAGGACGTCCAGCCCTCCGAACCGCTCGTTCTGCATCATCTCCGCCACTTTCCCCTTGACCATCTTGACCGCATCCCGGCTGGACTTGACGATGGTCTTCACTTCATCCGTGTGGAAGAAGTAACTCCACAGAGCCAGGCTGATGCACAGCAGGAACAAGGTCTCCGGTCTGAGCAGAAAATAACGCATGATCCGACCTAACAGAGACAACAGGGTCATTGTATCCTCTATCATCTATTTATTTACATGTAGGAAATCTGCGGCAGGTTGTGTGTCGCTCGCCCCCGCTGCAGGTTTAGTCCATTGTCGTTGGTGTAAGTGTTTTGGTATCGGTAAAACAGACGCATAACCCAGCGTTTGAAACCTGGACTCGTACAGAATATACTGTCAAGGGACACCTTAATTCGTTTTGTAACCGGACACAGCAGGCAGGGGGTAAGGTGTACACAAACCGGGGTACGAAAACGGTGCTCCGGCGGTTCTCCCTCTAGCTTGCAGCCCTGCAGTGAGCCACCAGCGGCTCTCCGTGCACCATCTGATGCGGTCCGAGAGCACCGACTACCCCGGGCAGACAATGCAAGTCCTCCGTTCAGAGTTCAATTTAAGCCCGTGTGCTGGCTGGGCAGAGTCTCTTCTTGGCCAGCCCCGCTACTGCTCCTCGTCCTGAAATAGCGGTCCGTGTTGAAACCAACACATTCCCAGCTGCCACACTGGCTGCGACTCTCTGCTTCTGACTGACTATTAAAGCGGAATGATGCCTTCATGTGCAGCTCGGAATCTCCCAAAAACAAAAGGACTTCAGAGCAGGGAAGTAATCAAGTATATTTACTCAAGTACTTTCTTTACTGTACTTAAGTGCAATTTTGATGCTTTGTACTTCTACCGCACTACAATTCTGAAGTTAATAGTGCAATGTTACTCCACTACATTTATTAATATATTTAGTAATTTAGCAGATTTGAAATTAATTAATTAAATGTAATCAACACTTAAATAACACTTTAGTTACAGATGGAGTAACATTCACCATCTAACCTGCAGTATACAAAGTCATTCAAATTAGTTCCACCTTTAAAAGCTGTGATAAACACATTATTCTATCAATAATTATAATGAAAACATGTCATATAAATAATTCGGATATGGGCCAATCTACATAAGGATTACTTTACTTACTTTTGGAACTTTAATTCAATTTTGATGCCAATATGTGTGTGCTTTTACTTAAGTAAGATTTTGAATACAGGTATTTTACTTGTACAAGAGTATTCCTTCTCTTTGGTATTTCTACTTTTACTTTAGTACAAAATCCACCGATGCGAATATATGAGATGTGTTTATAAAGAATGTCCTTTATCTCCATCGGGTGTTATTTAAATAACACAATTTACCACGGGTGGAAGTAATACAAATACAATGTAAACATACGGTGTTTTAAGCAACAGCCATGCATTTAAAACCTTCACTACTGCTTAAGTAAAAGTACTAAACTATTAGATCAAAAAGTACTGAGGAATCAAAAAGAATATACTCATACTCATTATGCTGAAGGGCCCATTTCATATACTTTATATGATATAATTTGAATCAAATTATGATGCTCAATGTGTTCATCCCTTTTTTATGTTGCAATTGTTAGAGATGGAACTAACTTTAATGTCTCTTCCGCTTGGGTAATCTTTGATAATGCCATACATAAAGAGGTATCTAATTGTTAAAAACAGACAATAATACTTTAACCATACATTTAAGACACATCTTTCATGCATATTGTAGATTAACAGTCACATCCTGCTGGTGTAGCTGTAAGTATTCCCACGTTTCCTTTATTTCATGCACTGAATACATGAGCATTAAAGTACGCTCGTTTTAGTTTAGATATTTCCGACAGCACTTGAAGACATCCAGAGAGCTGGGTTACTTACCAAAGGTGCGCACTAACAGAGTGAAGGGATTCTTTCTAAAAAGAAAAGGCCCAATTTTGCAAATGTCCTTGAATAATTGGCATTGTCAAATAAATAATCCCTCTGAGTGCTAAATTATTAAAAGTGTGACTTCACTGGATCCCTGGACATTCACGCTTGGAGCCTTTATGTTTTTTCATAATATTATTGACAAATCAACGTCCTTTTTAAAATGGTGCTTTAAAAGCTGATCTTAAGATGCTGTTTGCATAAGTGTCCGTTAAAGACTTAAAATCTTCATTATTTAATCTGGTTTTGAATTTAAATTATACATTTAAAAACTATGTTCTATATAACCTACACATCACACTGCAAACCTCATCTCATGACATGTGATTTCTACCACAAGCATAGTGCTCCATCTGTTTATCAGAGAGTGTGAGGACTCATGGGTTAGGGGCCAGCAGCTAATTTTTGCACCATAAACCCCAAGTACCTCTGTGATATGAATTGAGAAGTAGATTTTGAAACAGTAACTTCATTAAATCCAATATGATGAATTAAGTCAAATAGATGCTCGACTCACATTACAATGATATTGTTGCTGAAACGATTTGCAAAAAGGTCCAGGTGGTGAGCTTTCAAACTAAGCGACCTTGGGTCTCATGAAAGCGCTATATAAATCCAAGTTATTATTATTATTAAGCTAAATTAAATGTTACACCAATCTTTTGTCTGTCCTCGTAATGTTTATATAGCCTAATATGGTATGCATTTCTCGAAAATGTATAATATTACGTTTTATTTATTCAAGCCTATACCTTTATATCTAAATAAAACATTCAAAAATAATTTTCTCTCCCTTTTTCTTTCCGTTTTCTTAATTGTCTTTATTTATTTTTTATTTTGTTTCTGATATTGAATAATTGTATAGGGCACTCAATGTTGTTGGCTGGAATAGTTAATGCCATCATTTAATGTTTTTTTTAAGGAAATGTGTTCAGGCAAACAAAGACAGCCCGGGGTCCTCTCGCACTGCGTGACGTCACCAAGCCTCTCGGTCCTCGGTAAGGAAAACGTGGACGACTTCACTTCACGCTGTGTTGTGGATATACCATCAAAAACACTTCAGTAAGTGTTGTCATCCCAGGCTTGCAGTTGTTGTAGTTATCGAATACGTTTGTTTGACATGTTGTGCTTGTTATTCACGAATATCTTTTAGAATTACTCGTAAAAACTGGCAAATTAGCCCCGAATGCTAACCGTGTGATACTGGATGTGTAGCATCAGCTAGCAGCTTTAGCTTCAGAGCATCTCTTTAATGATCTAATGTCGTTGTCTATGTTTTTACAAGTGTTTACAACAAACTAATAGTATCATGTACCTGCTGTAATGAATAATGTAAGTAGTTGGTACACACTGCTTGCTACTTGCCACTGTTGGCTATTCTCCAGATGTGTTACTGTTAAAGCTGTGCTAGTATAATCTTTCCTGTTTCTGTCCTCAGACATCATAAAGATCCACTGAAGTACACTGATCTGTGAAGTTGACAAGAATGGAGTACGTTCAAGCCCCTGCCACAATCAGCGAGGCAAATATGTAAGTGAATAAATATAAATAATCATGATGTCTTCTAATCACAATGTTCACATTGTGTAAACTAAGTGCATCACATCTTTGCCTTATTGACAGATGTTGTCTTTGGGGCTTACTAAGACTGACATCACGAATGAAAGTTAAAGGAATAGGTTGATATATACATTTACAATAAGTTGATAGTGGTGAATTTCCATTTTTGGGATAATTGTCTAATTATCTTTACATATGTTACTGAAAGAGCTGTCAGCTCACTAAGATGGTAGAGCCTGATTTAAATACTTACAGGAATTATAAAGCAAGAAAGATCAGACGCGCACAATGTTACTATTTGCAAGTTATTTATCTTGTATTTATGCAGCTAATTCGTTATTTTAGCTAGTTACATTGTTTATTTTGTATTGAAAAGGATATTCACTAAAAATGGATGTCTGATTCTTTACTTAATTTTAGGTAAATTGTTTGCAGTGTGTTTCATTGCCATATTAAGAGCTTTAGTCATATTTTATGTTAATCAGGATAATATTGTGAATTGCAATTATTTTGGCCAGGAAAATTCGTTTTCACATTGTTTTATTGACACACAATTTCGGTTGACAATAATAATTTAAATAGTCAACCTGAGTGAGTTTGAATGTCGCTATCTTAATTTTGGGGGGTTTTCAACACCGAACAGTAGTGAATTCCTGTACAATCTTTTTCCATCAGGAGAAATGTAGCACAATCAGCAGGAATGTCAACATTTCTGGGAGACAATAAAAACTCATTTTCCTAGAGGTGTAAAATGCCATGTCATTTGTTTATTTCATTACGTTCTACCAACGTTGCCTTTCCCCCCCAGCCTGTGCTGTACCTGTGGCGTCCCCATCCCTCCCAACCCAGCCAACATGTGTGTGGCCTGCCTGCGCACTCAGGTGGACATCTCAGAGGGGATTCCCAAGCAAGTCACTGTGAACTTCTGCAAGCAGTGTGAAAGGTTTGTTTAATCCTCTCTTCTTCTTTTTTAAAACCACAAATCAAACAGACATTTAACTACATGATACACAGAAAACATCAATGCTTCGCTCTAGAAAAAAATATATATACGGGTACAATAGTTTTTGAGAAAGTTGAGGCTTAAACACTCATCTTCCTCTATCATGCAGGTACTTGCAGCCTCCTGCCACCTGGATGTCGTGTGCCCTCGAGTCCAGGGAGTTGCTCTCTCTTTGCCTGAAGAAAATCAAGAGCTCAATGACCAAAGTAAGTGTGCTTCACGACAATAGCATATTTGCACTTAAATTAAAGAGACAAAAGGTTGCATGAATAGTCTAGGTATAAGTTCGAGGTTGTCCTTTCCTTTGTCATTCAATTGTAGTTTTAATTTGCTCTCAGTTCCATCTGGCTACTCAGCAATGAGCATACTTATTTTATGGTTAAAAATAAATAAATAAAATGTTGCCTAGCTACATTTCATCAGTGCCTCTCCTATAATGCTGCCTAAAACAATATAATAATTTATGGCCTTGAAAACAGTTAACATTGTAGTCTCTTTTGTCATGGATAATATTGTCAAAATATTGTTTTCAGATCATGTACAGTATCTGACTTTTCACAATGATGTACACCATGTTCACTAAAGTATCAGTACATTTTCCTTTTGGGGCTCGTGCTATTTTTAAACAACATATCTCTTCTCACAGGTGCGTCTTATTGATGCTGGCTTTCTGTGGACAGAGCCACATTCCAAAAGGATTAAGATGAAAGTGACTATCCAGAAAGAGGTAAGAGAACAGAGTGGAAGTGATGACTGTGGGAGACTGACATTCAGACTAATGGATTAAAACGGACCCGAGAGGGGCAACACATGTTACATCTAAAGGTCATCTGGTTTACTGTCCAGTGAGATAACACCTTAAAAGGAAGTGGTCTGTTTTTGAATGAGTTATGTGTGTTTGAGAAGAGTGTTTTTTTGCCAGTGGCTGTCATCTCATCTCATTGACCTTTAGTGAGAACCTGAGTCCTCTGTTCTCAGGACTAACTCTTTTGTTTCTATTCGAGGGTCTGTATAAAACGGTCTCTAGATCCCACTGGTGTGATGTATCAAAATTACTGAGAAATGGCAACGTGTTGTTTTTTCCCCCCAGAAGTTAATAACCTAGAGTTTTTATCACTATTTGCCATGTAGTTAGAGCATATTTTCTAACTCTTCCTCTCTTTGCCTCTTCAGGTGATGAACGGTGCGATCCTACAGCAGGTGTTTGTGGTGGAGTTTGTCATCCAGTACCAGATGTGTGACGACTGCCATCGTGTGGAAGCCAAGGACTTCTGGAAGGCCGTGGTTCAAGTCAGACAGAAGGTACCTATCATAAATATTTTGTTTCTGTTCTTTTGTTGTACTTGAACTCTTCTCACATTTGAAACCTTTTGACAATGTTTTAAATACACTGTGCATGCATTGCTACATGCACAGTTTAATGAAAAGTGTATTGATTATTCAAAACATTATATATGCTTAAGGACAACAGAGGAAAATGAGCATTATGCTATATATGGAGAAATATATTATAGACCAGTGTGCCTGTTTAAAATTAACCAAAAAATAAACATAGTTTTTTTTTGGCAACGTATATTGTCTGAATCTGGTTGTCCAGGTTTGAAAAAGGGCTTCAAAAGCTGCTGGGCAAAAAACAAAGTCTGTTTACACTGGCATTCCCCAGAAAGTTGGCCATTTGCAGGTTTACTTTTGCACTCTTTAATTGTCATTCTGTATTTCCCTCTGATTAAAAATCTGTTGATATTTTCCCTCAATTTTCTGTTTTAGTGTTTCCAGTATTCTCTTTCTTTTAACAATGTTGTTATTTTGTGCTGAAGCTGTGTCTGTTTATTGTAAAAAACTTTGAGGGCTGTAATTTATCCTTCTTATCACTGATGTTTTGGGGTAAAAAAGCTTAGCTGCAGAGCTGCGACATCCCAGGTATGGGGTTGGAAGGAATTGAAATAATGGCGCTGAAGAAATTTTTTTTTCTTATTTTTACAGACCACTCATAAAAAGACGTTCTACTATCTGGAGCAGCTGATCCTCAAGCACAAACTCCACCAGAATGCCCTCAACATCAAAGAAATGAATGGTAGATCAATGAAATATGATTATACGTAGTTCCTTGTTGCTTGTTTGTTAATTGATGTAACCTAAAAGGGAGGAGCTGTATTTCCGGCTTCCTATGGTATGACAATGTGAAGGAGGGAAACTTGTCTCATTCATCATCAGTGTAACTGATGTGGATTAAAGCTAAGCAGAACTTAATGATGTGTCGAGTGTTAATTACCTCGTACCAGACAGCAAGCCATGCATGCATATCACTGGCGCCAATCAGTCCGTACAGCTGTCCCTGTGTGGGCCTCAGAGGAGGGCACGCGTTGTGCATCTAATCAGTGCGCTGTAATCAGACCAGGCATGCCATATCCAGAATTCCTGCCATTCAGGCTTGATTCGTAACCTATTTAGAGCTGCTTACTGCCACGTCACACACACAAAGACCTCCACACACTCAGGCGCTCATGCTGTGCCCTGAGTGACAGCTCAGCAGCAGCTTTCTCTCTCTGCTCTTGGACTGTGAAGTGGAGTTTTGGCTGGTGGTGTAATTTAAATTGTCTCCATAACTCGGCAGGACTTAAAAGGCTTTATTGAAGTTACAACATATGGCTGCCATATTTTCTCTCCAGCTTATCAGCTCTCTTGTGTTTTTGCATGCATGTGTGTTCTGCATGGGGAATGACTAGTGAAGGGGGCCTGTTCTGGATTTATTGGTTGAGGTGTTTGATGGTATTTTCTCCTCTCAGATGGGATAGATTTCTACTATAGCACCAAGCAGCACGCTCAGAAGATGACGGACTTCCTCCAGTGCACTGTGCCCTGCAGGTAAGCATCGCCTCAGTCTGTGCTTATGAAATCATCTTCGTCATAAGTGTCAGTATTAGAACAACCTTCCTCCTCTTTGGAAATGCTAATCATAAAAGCATTCAGACTGATTTTGAGTAATACAAAAAAAGATGTTAGTAGCTTAGTGTTAACTTGTGTTTTTCTATATGCCAAAAATCACATCGTCATTACCTAGATGTTGTCATGACTTTCAAAAGCTTAGATGAGTCTGACTGCACTTTTTCATGTGTGCGATGATTATTCCAGCTGGAACAATGTGAGCTATGCTGGGCCTCTGACAAAAAAAACATTATTTTCTATTTTAAAGGTCAAAGACATCCCAACGCCTCATCTCTCACGATATCCACTCAAACACGTTCAACTACAAGAGCACCTACTCCATGGAGATTGTACCTGTCTGCAAGGTATAAATGTGAAAAAAAACTACAGATTTCATTTAAGTCAAATGTTGTTAAGCTCAACTGATCCCCTGTTGGAGTTGAGATCTGTTCAGCACTTCAGTCAAGTCCCAGCCGATCACCGCCCCACTAAAGCCCTCAGTTTGTTATTTTAGTAGAAATGTTGTGTTAGTAAGCTATTCATTTGATCTGTTGATGTGCTGAAAATCCAAGGATCCTTCATATTGTTTTTGTTCCTGAAACTTAATCTACCTTCACAGTAAAACTAAGGTAGAGATATCATCTTGGCAGGTGTGTAATCATCACTTTCTATAGCTGCTAATTCCCATTTGACATGAAGCTTTAGTTATGTGTTTATATTAGCTATAAATACATTTGGGTGTACTCCATAATATGTTTAAATGACTGGGCTGATAAAGGGTTATTTCAATAAAGGAAAACAGGAATCTGAATAGTGCTAGATACCCCCAGGTGAATTGGATTATTGTGTTTAAACTAAGTCTAGCTTCCAGTTCTTAGAAATACATTTTTATGTCCGTGTTTTGGGCACTTCTAGAGCTCTCGGTTTTGACCCCAGGCTGTCTGTTTCTTTTCTGCTTTCCAGGACAACGTAATATGTCTTTCACCAAAGCTGGCGCAGAGCTTGGGCAACATGGGTCAAGTGTGTGTGTGCGTCCGTGTCACCAGCACCATCCACCTGATTGACCCCAACACCCTGCAGAGTGAGTATTCCTACTGTCACAGTTCAGGTCACACTGACACCCAGTCCAACTTCACCAAAACACAGCTTGTCAAATATATCTGCAGTCTGGTTTAGATGGTTATCGTCAGTACGTGTGATTTTGTTATTTCTCTTTTTTTCTTCTGTTAGTCAGAGAAAGGGCTTGATTTGAAGATGTAACCTTTTTTATTTCAAAACATATCGTAGTCGTGTTTTCTGTTAAAATTCACACATTTTTCCTCACTGCCACAAGTTATGCGTATTCATGCATTTGTGTCTTTGAGTGATTTACAAGACGCATAACTTCCTGTATGTTACCATGGTGATATAACTGAGTCATAACTTGAGTGAAACCCTCAGAGCTGCACTAAGCTGACCCCCGGTCTGCTGACCACATGTTCGACAAATCCGTCTTACTCAACAGCTTCCCTCTGCGTTCAGTCACGACGCAGAACGAGACTCAACAAAATGAACTTATATGGAGGGAATCATAATCAATACAAGAATGCAAAACAGAGACAGAAACATTTACACAATGTGTTTCTTTGGTATCTACTGTAATCGTGATGAGAGAGGCTGTGAAGCTCCTCAATAGAATTCTGACATTTTGTCAGCAGCACACACGTCTTTAATTATTCTTCAAAGAGCAGGCTATTTTTGTTGCACATAGTTTTTGATCAGGCTGAAAAGCTGGAACTGCCTCCAGGCAGAACTCTGTTCAGCAGATTTTGGCTGCAACAGGCAATTAAACTGAGTATTACAAATATTTGTCTTGCTGTTTTTCTGCTTGATTTTACTTAAAATACAGACAGAAAGACGTCCCTTAGTCTGTTTTGTTTGAAACATGTACAGATAGAAAAACGCATCAGTACATCTGATTCATGTTTCTTTTAGAACCATGTGGATTTTTGATAAAAAGGACTTTAGAAAATGTCTATCTGTGACGTAACGTTAACTCTATTTTTCAAGTTCTTTAACTGTGTAGTAAAAATGAGAGGAACTTTATAATTTGTGCCTCCATTTTTGGCTTTTTGTTTAAAGGACTATAGAATTGTCAGTAATAAATAAATAAATAATCTCTCTAACTCCCTAGTTGCTGAGGTGGATGGGGGCACCTTCTGGCGTAACCCCTTCAGCAGTCTCTGTAGCCCACGGCAACTGGAGGAGTTCATCGTCATGGACATTGACGTCCTCAGGAACCAGAAGCTGGGAGCTGGAGCCGGCATAAGGTCCAATAAGGTGAGGGTGTGTCTGTGTGTGTATTCTTGGAGAACAGATTGCATTATGGGAGGAAGTTGTTTTTTTCTTTTTAAATATCGATAGCGAATGATTGCCCCCCACTCTGTATGTGGGATTCAAGCCAAACTCACAGGAGTGTTTGTTTCAATAGCGCAGTCAGGGGAGGATGTTTGTGGCTTTCCTTCTTCTCTCTGAATCATTATTGATGCTACCTTCTGAACTAATTGGAGAAAAAGAAAATAATAATTTAGTTTTAATGGCTTGACACTCATTTATATTCCCCTGTGTGTATTTGTGTGTGTGCGTGTTACAGCACCTGCTGGCTGAGCTGTGGGTCCAGAAAACAGCAGAGATGGATGGTCAGCAGTATCACTGCCGCACATACCTGGGCCACCTGCTGAACATCGGAGACCTGGTGCAGGGGTGAGTACCAGGAACTGATGGGAGGTTGAGATGTCAGTCGAGATGCAGTGAAGACTGATGGCTCATACTTTTCACACAGATATGACTTTGTCAATTCCAACATCAATGATGAACACCTGAATAAGATGAAGCCTCACACCATTCCTGATGTGGTAAGACTCCTCTGTGAATAAAAGCTTTTTGTATACAAAATACTGTCTGTAGATACAATCAAATGATTTGGAAAAACACCACATTGCATTGGTCGAGGGGTTTTAATTTCACAACCTGAATGTTGACCCTCTAAGGTGCTGATCAAGAAGTGCTACGACCGCAACAGGAGGTCGAAGCGCAGGAACTGGAAACTGCATGAGATGGATAGAGACCGTGAAGGCATGGCCCCAAATGATGAGAGGTGGGTTTCTGAATTATTTTATTTAGAGCAGCAAAACAATGTCAGTTGGATTGATTCAATGCAACAACAGTATAGCTCTGGCACAAATGAATAAGCTGTATCATTCTCTTGGTACACATACTATACTGTTCTTAGGATCAATTCATTCTTGGTTTAGATATTTTTCATATGTTTACATAAATGTAGATTATCCCCACGACAGTGTTTAGCTGACAATCTGCCGGTAGAATCTCCCGCATGAGCAGGCATAAGCTCCGCCCCCTCTTTTTTTTAAATTTTTTTTTTAAAACTTCATAGACATGTTTTTTTAATATATTTTCATATCTGAGACCTATACTGTTGCCTAAAAATAGCATGATAGGTGACCTTTAATAGTTTGAAACTGTGAAAAGAATTCCAAGGATTGTGTAAATGTGTTTTTCTCTGTAATGTCTTACCACATTGATTTGCCTCTAACTTGCTTTTCTGTCCTCAGACAATACGAGGACTTCCTGGAGGACCTGGAGGAGGATGAAGCTCTGAGGAAGAATATTAACATCTACAGAGGTGAGGAGCCAAACACCGACGATCTCTAGACACTTGAGCAATTCTGTTGTTTCCTATTTTGCAGCTTAAATAGTTTAGCTAATTTGCTATCGGTGCTGCTTAAGCTCCCAATAGACGTAATGTCATAAGTTTATTGATGTGTTGGATAGTTAATGAAAAGAGGTTGATTTTGAATTTCAGATGCATCCAAGGTCGCAGTGGAGAGCGACACTGACGAGGAAGGAGCACCTCGTGTTTCGCTGGCGGAGATGCTGGAGGAGCTCAGCCTGACGGATGCAACAGGAGAGGATGGTGCCGAAATGATGACGGAGTAGCTGTCCTACTCTGTCACTAACAGGACCGCTGATAATACAGTCACACACAGAGCTGGAATAACAGCAGATTTAATTGAAACATCAACAACAAATGTGTCACAGAAAAATGAACAGCTCATCAGACTGATTTAATACAACAGTTAAATGCCATATATGTGGGTTATAATGGCGCCACCTACTGTGGTAACAAATATATTTCTGAAGTACTCTTTCTTCATTTGTCATGAAATATTTTGAAGGGATATGGAAATGAGGTGCTTGTAGTTCACTATATCAAAATAAATACTTGTCCTAATGCTGACTTTTCATCAATTTTTTTCCGGTTGGGGATTTAATAGACATTAGCTGGGTCCTGTGTTTAGTCAGATGGCTAAACACGTTACCAGCTGTGGACATCTCCTCCTTTGAGCATCCAAAAGCACACATTTAAAAATCACTGCATACTCTGCTGTGATTATACTTGTTTTTGTTACATGAATACCCTTCATTATTTATACCCGTTTAGACAGGTATGTATCAAGTTCTCTGCTCTACATATCCACCAGAGGGACTTCAAACAAAAGAGAGGTAATGCATTCAAATAGCCACACTTGTAGTAAGCCGATGGGCTTTATTCAAATACTTACCCAGCTGCACCATCTGTTCAGTGCTGTTTGTGCGGTCTCTGATGTTGGCTGATGCGAGAGAAACAAATTAGAGTCGAGGCTGCTCAGAGCAACAATGATGTCCTCAAATAATCTGACATGATGTGCAACTTGTTGCAGCCTAAGAGCTCATGTGAAAGTAGTTGCCAACTCCAAAAAGTCCCAAACACTGGTATGCAAAGTCAAGTAGAAGATTCAGAATTTTCAAAATTACAGATTTAGATTTGGACATGAATATCCTTCCAAAGACAAATGACCTCACATTACAATTAGGAAAAGGGGCTTTTGAATATGTAAAAAGTTGTTTATTCATGATAGATACTATAGCAGAAATGTTTTTGAATGTTTCTTTTGCTCTGGTAGTAGTTATGACATCGTGACCCTTAATATTTCAAGCTCATGAAGTGATTGGAGAATTGATTTTGAGGGTCCATACACATTTTGTTAGTACATTTGCATGGCGGTGCCTACAAATACAGATATGAGGCCGTGTGTAACTAAAGACACCAGAGGAATGTGTGTTCCAGAGAGAGTAAGCTGTTTGTCTGTGTGACATGTCTCACGTTCTAAATTTAAGAGGTAGAAAGTGGCATGGTTTTGTTTTTTACAAACCTGAGCTGGTTGTTCACAGTAATCAGATCTACTTGGGGAAATGAATTAGTTGAATCCCCTCTGGGTATGTGTGCGTGGGTTAGGGTAACAAGAACATAGGGGTTCTCATGTTTTCAGATCACCCCTCTGTTGACCTCATTTTCTCACCATATTGTCACCATAATGCTTATGATTGGAGCTTTGATTCCCAATACTACCACAGCTACCAGGACCTGAGGAGACCTTGTCGGATTTCCATACACATTTCCAAAGTACATATAGCGGAGCAGGACAGGATGGCTCATTCAAACACATTCAGGTGTCTGCGAGGGGAACATTTTTCCTTTCAAATGTGTCTGGCTTTTTTTATCCAGTCTTCCTCTAAGAGACGCTGACAAAAATGCAGAGTGCATCCATGTGTAATCCTCAGCAGCACTTCCTGTGTTTATACATCAATAATACATAGTGCTGTCAAGTGCAAGAACTAGCCAGTTCAGCAAACCTTGAGCAGATAGGAGATAAGAGTTACCAACTTTGTCTCTCATTGTCCCAAAACACAAGGACACATTTTCAGCTCATACTTGCATTTCTTTTTCAGGGGTCTTTTCATTGTTGGTTTGCCTTATTGAATGGGTCAGTTTTTCCCAACACTTCTTTGGGCGGGACATTTGAAAAGAATAGATTAAAGGTTAATATTTAATTGACAATATTTTCTTTAATCCAACTGTGCATTGACTTCTGATGATCTTCAAGGTATACAGCTGCTGTGAGTTAGTCAAATCAGTGGTTTGTGTATAGCCTTATCATTTGTTAATGGATTGAGCAACTGGTCAGATGCACACCTCAGTCACTTCTCTGCTCCCGAGCTGTTTTCAATATAGCATTCATCACTGTCATACATAATGATATATCTACCGACAGCATTTTAACTTTTTGTGCACAATTCCATATTCAATCAAAATGTGGTGTCTCTAAAAAACTATTATAAACTAAAACATATCTGGGCTGCAGGATGAGTGGATGCCAGTGTGATGTGTGGTCTGTTTTCACCCTGCTGCCTACGTTAGAGGTGCTGCTGCGGCGGTGCAGTGTCCGGCTGGCGAAACACAAGGATGTGACACGGTCTGCAGAAAGTTAAAGATGCATTACAAACGTCAGATTCAGCACTGCTGAATTAGAGCTGCATCTAAAACAGCCACTCCTCCTTGTGCCTCTGAAGCTGGTTTCCTTTGGCTGTGTTCACACACACACACACACACACACACACACACACACACACACACACACACACACACACACACACACACACACACACACACACACACACACACACACACACACACACACACACACCTACACACACACACACACACACACCTACCTGTGTGCTTTAGTCCTCGGTCACTGCTTGGTGTGTGGGCCAGGTGAGTCCAGGTGGGTGTAAGCAAAGGCAGTGGGTGTGGTGTTATTCTCACAGTCTGTATGACCTGCTACATATAGGCCAGAGGGGAACTGTTGAGACAGCTTTCAGTTTACACAAAGCAGCGGAGGGAATCGGGCTGCAGCTCTTCCTGTAATTGTCTCTGACAGTAGGGAGTCTCACGTCGCCTGCTAAGGTGAGTCAATAGGGATTCAGTTATACACAATAAAAACTACACACTCAAGAGCTGATACATCCCCTTTAATATTCTGTATTACAACAATAAATCATATGAGGAATAGTAAAGGAATGTCTGTGTCATTGTGTAAAATCAAATCATGTTACCTTATATATCTTAATAAAGGCAGGTCATTACTCAGATTAAATTATCATCAAACTCGTTTTTATTCTAATATTTATGTTAAGGGAGATCATTTGGTTGGCAAAAGGGCATATCGGTTTATTTGAGGTAAATACACCTGCATTGCGCACCTGTTGGTCCCGCCTACTACCTTAACCTTCAGTTAAACAAATAGTCCTGAACAGATTCAGAACATGGAAAAGGATTAATTTGTAGACTAATTTAAATCACAACAAGTGAGTGTTTTTTTTCATCTTCCTGTTTTCGCCTGTGCATTTAATTTTTGTTGGTGATGGAGAAATGTTGCTTCTCCACAGATAGTATAAACTCATTTGCAAGGTCCCAAGGTGTGTGGTGACACCTGTATGCTTATGTGTGCCAAGAAAACATTGATGACTGTTAAAAGTTCATATGGGAACATTATGTTATATTTAACTTTTTCTTTTAAATATACCATACTATCCTATTGCTTTATTTTGACTTTAGTATGGCATATTTTATGGTATACTTAACGTTTTATGACATAGTATACCCTCATATGTATACAGAAAAGTCTATTATTAAAAGTGTATTTATGGTGTGCTATTTCTTTTAAGACAATTACATTATTTATAACCGTTTTTATTACAAATTATTCTATGTATTTGTATGGTATACTTCACTATGACATTCTTTATTGACATACCATATATGACTATTGAATGTTATAATATACTAGGTTTTTGTGATACTATGACTCATACTATATATATGTGCTATACTTGTATTCACTCTCCTCCAAATCTTCTCCCTCAGCTTCACCACTGTGTTTTTTTCCTCCTTCACATCTCTTTCTTACGGCCTGAATCTCACAACATTCCTACTCCATTTCTCTTCCGTGCATCTTGCAAGATGAACTTCAAGAACTTAAGGGAGTACCTGGCCTGGCTGTACTACCAGTACCTGCTCATCACCGGCATCTATGTCCTGGAGCCCTGGGAAAAGTCCATCTTTAACTCCATCCTCTTCTCCGTCGTTACCATGGTGATCTACACCTCATATGTCTTTGTGCCCATCCACGTGCGGCTTGCGCTGGAGTTTTTCTCCGGGATCTTTGGCGGGCAACCTGCGAGCACCGTGGCACTCGTGAATTAAAACATAAAAAGAGGTTGCGACTGGGTGAATTAGAAATAATTCCTTAAAACTCAACTCCTTATCTCCCAGAGCCCCTTGAGCACCACGTTCACCCTGAGCCTCAGCAAGACTGAAAGCATGAAGATCTTAATGAAATCATCTGGAAATCTTAGCCTATCTTCTTTACATCCCAAATCCTCCTTACCCCATGGTATTAGGCAAACGACTGTACATTACTTTCACACCCTCCCTGTGAAATGTTGTTTGTCCTGTCTGTTTTTTTGTCAAATGTTTTTGTTTGAGTGTATGCCACCTCTGTGTTTTACATGATAGGGTCATACATGGGTCGGGTAGTATATTTGCATGCTCGTTTCACAATTAAATACCACTCGACTCTTTTCTTTCCATCATAACTTTAGGGCTAGTCTTTAAACAGATATTACGGAAATGAAGTTTGTCACATAAAAAAAGACAGAGTGGTTGTAATTGAAGCAGCATAGGTCAAGATATCCTGAGTTTTAGTCTCAAGTTAAAACACTTGATCCCACACAACCCAAAATGCAACTCGATAGGGTCTTATGGTAGACCTTCCCTGGCTGTCTAATACCCACATCTTTTTAAATCCAACATCACAAGTTTGAGTTAATGTTCAGAGTTTGGATGTGTCCAAATCACTTTTTTTTTTATAAACTGCATTGCATGTACTCTTTCTGCCGTTTGATAGTGTCTGAATTTGGAGTGTGAAATATATGCATTATTATATCACGCCCTCAACCGTTCCAACAGTGAATCAAAGAAAGTAAACTTTACAATTTCAACACATTATTGTTCATTATATAAGTAGTAATGAAAAGTGGGGATGGGGGGTCATTTCAGACAAAGCCTTGGAAAGAACCCCTTAAGAGCCACAGAAAACATTGAAAAAAACTATTTAGGCTGAGTGTGACGAGTAAACTGAACTTGATGTGAACAATTGGTTGCATGCCTCTCTAAGTTTCCGTGAATATTTGTGTATCTGCTGTATCTGTGATGCAATGTTATACCTGATATACATTTATATCTGATAAAAGAGGAGCCACTCATCCCAACATTTGTTCACATGCACTTATGGTTGATCCACGGTTTTGTATCAGAGCCTCTATCACCTTTTATATTTACTTTTATGA